GCACGAATAGTGAAAGCCAGAGCGGCTTATGCCAATCTGGGCCACCTTTGGCGCCTTCGTGATGTCAGTCTGGCTGTAAAAGGCCGGATCTACAACGCGTCGGTGAGAGCAGTTTTGCTCTATGCTTGTGAAACCTGGCCTCTCCGAGTTGAGGACGTTAGACGACTCTCTGTGTTTGATCATCGCTGTCTCCGAAGGATTGCTGACATTCAGTGGCAACACCATGTTAGTAATGCAGAGGTTCGGCATCGTGTGTTCGGGCACAGAGATGATAACTCAATTGGTGTCACCATCTTGAAACACCGACTTCGGTGGCTTGGACATGTTCTCCGAATGTCGTCCCAGAGAATTCCACGTCGTGCATTATTTGCCGACTCTGGGACTGGTTGGAAGAAGCGGAGAGGTGGTCAGTGCATGACATGGTGTCGTGGCATGAAAGAAAGCTGCAAAGGACTGGCTTGTGTTGGTCCTTCACGACTCCCTGGCTGGGGTCCGAGAGATGGTGCAACACAGTGGCTAGAGACGTTATCAGATATGGCTCAGAATAGAAGCCAGTGGCGATCCTGCTGTAACCTTCTTTTACTTTCTTCATAAAAAGTGGTTGTGTCTCCTTTACCTGAAAGATTTCTTCTGATTGTACCTCTTCGTCATTACTCTCTTTTTCTTTTGCGTTCCTTAGTTTTTTTTTTTTTTCTTTCTACTTCTCTTCGAATTCCCATTGTTTTGTGTGGCGCATATATATTGGCGCTCTCTTGTACCAATATTTATGTGTTCAAATAAATAATAAATAAAACTGGACTTTTTTGAAGCGCTATGAAGACTATGATATAGTTCTTACATTTCTAAAGATTCTATACCTATATTTTCTCAGTTTTTTTCTCCTAGGATATTTATGTATTTAAAAGATTCTTTTTGATTTCTGTACAATTATTATATGTTATTAATCTACATCTCCATAGCATGTTCAAACTTAATCAAGAGTTCCCTAATGTACATTTTATTTATTTGAACACATAAATCTTGGTAAAAGGGGCACCAAATATATATGCGACACACAAAACAATGAGAATGGGAAGAAAAAAGAAGGTAAGGTGCGTATAAGGAAAAAAAGAAAGGGAAAGAAAAGACTACTGTAAGGTAGTGTAATAGTAATGATAATGGGGGAAACGGGAAGGTACAACCAGAAAGAATTCTTTCAGTTAAGGAAGAAGCAATCACTTTTTATGAAGAAAGTAAGAGGTTACAGCAGGATCGCCACTGGCTTCTATATCTGATAACGTCTCTAGCCACTGTGTTCCAACACCTCTAGGACCCCAAACAGGGAGTCGTGAGGGAGCAACACAAGACAGCCCTTTGCAGCTTTCTTTCATACCGCGACACCATGTCATACACTGACCACCTCTCGGCTTTTTTCAACCAGTTCCAGAGTCGGCAAATAATGCACGACGTGGAGTTCACTGGGACGACATTTGTGGAACATGTCCAAGCCACCAAAGTCGATGCTTCAAGATAGTGACACCAATTGGATTATCGTCTCTAAGCCCGAACACACGATGCCGAACCTCTGCATTACCGAAATGGTGTTGATACTGGATGTCAGCAATCCTTCGGAAACAACGATGGGATGACTGACACAATTGTTTGTAGGATGTGAGCGGCTGAATTACTATTTTGCACTTTAAATTCTAATCAATTATTATTATTATTTTTACTACTACTTTATACAATTTTTCTTGATTATTATTCAGTTTATTATTATGACCTTTGTGTTTGTCGCTTTTCTTCATATCTGTCAATTCGACTATTATCTGACCTATAAACGATTTTCTTCCTTACCTCTTGATTAGTACGCAACCTCATTTCTTCGCTGAATTCTCTTTTTCTTATTCAATGTCACTATGGGTTATTTTAATTAACCTCCTTTTTATTACATAAATATCAATAATGAATAGAAAATAATAAATTATGTATGAGTAAAAATAAATACAGATTTAGATAAACTTTTGTTTTATTATTTAGTCAAAGTTTATGAAATAAAACAAAAGTTGAACATTGATATTTAAAATAAAATGAAAAAAGAAATTAATGATAATTTTCGAAACAGAAAGAAATAAACACGTGAAAACAAAAAAACCTCATCATAGGAAAATAAACTAGAAAACTCTACATATATAGTTAAACATTCTTTTCATAAGTGAATATAAATGATTGACAAAACAAACGTCTATATAATAATGACTGACCAGGAAGTATATATATATATATATATATATATATAAAGGCATTCATTTCTTTACACATGGCGTGAATAGAGAGATGATAAAATTCGCTTAAACTGTAAACTCTTTGTCATTTCATAATATATACAAAATATGATATTGGAAAATAAAACTAAGAAGACTTGACTATTTAAATCTGGTTGAAAGTATAATGCTCAAAATTGTGACTAGTTCATCTAACCAATAATTAATTATTCAATGGTTATTTGAATCTACTCGCCTTAGACCCACCGCAAACAGTGTAAAGACAAATTACATTCAAGCTGATTTAAATCTAATTCAAAGAGTTAAGCAAATTATTCCAAAAAAAAAGTAACTAATTATACTTTGTGAACTCAGTTATAATGACTTATGAAACTGTCACTTGGTCTCCCAAACTGAAATAGATGGAAAGTTCGAACATGCGACCGGAATATAGGAATTTGTTTTAATAGCTGCACACCTAAAAAGCTGATATTTATAACTAGCAAAAGCAGTTCAGCTTGAAATAAAACCGTAATGAGTCAACAAGTGTGTGTGGGGAGGGGGAATAAAACATTCAGAATTACTTAACCTTGACATTATGAACTAGACCAACGATCGTGTTGCTGTTAGCACTCATAATTACAAAAATCCACGTTACTATAGATACTCGTGAAAAATTTATAACCGAATCTCCATTAAAGATGATGACTGAAATGCTCGTTTCAGAAAAAGTATGGTCAGATTGTAATCAACATGGAATATTAGTCAAAAATAAACAAAGTTTATGAATAATTGAACGCACTTTGCCTGGAACTGAACGAACCATTTTAATAATCAAAATGTACCATGTTACATGAGTTTAAATGATCGTGAAAGTTTTAAATACGATATGTATGATATAAATGTACGCACTAGTAAGAAACTATAAATTTAATAAAAGGCATACAAATGATAGTCAGTTTTCTAGTGACTATTGAACTTACCATCAACTAGAAGGTGATAAGTTATACGATCATATCGTTCGGTCTTTAACTTCGTATCCAACAGACCGCATCGATAGAACCCTTGATCTTCAAAATTAAAATTTCGTATTAATAATTTAGTACGACTAGTCACAGTCGACTGCACCAACTTGTATTTATCTATTTTGGAATAACGCAGAGAATAAAAACAACATGAAAACAAAACAAATGAATAAAAAAGGTTTGAAAATCAAGCCTATTTTACCTTTGGTGTTAAATAAACAACGTTAGGGATAGAAAATACATGTGATAGACCTTATATGATAAGTAACACTATAAGATACTGATCTATATTAGATTAATAAATGCTACACAGTAACTAACCTAAATTGAACGTAATCATGGTGCTAGGGTGTTTCGTTACAAAGGATAATAATTGAATAATGTATTAAATAACATTCTTAAACGACAATGTATGGGCTCTTTCAAAGAATATGATACTACTTACAGATGATTATCAGTGACCAGAAAAAGTTTTGGGTGTCCAAAAGAGCTTCTTTTTACAAAATCTCAAGTTAAAAATAAGAAAACTTAACACATGGGTTTTATATAATTTAGTTCAGTAGAAAATCTTACACGAAGCACCCACAAACGATTGGTTAATTCGCCACATAGTGAGTAACGAAAAATCTGTCAATCACTTACATATCGATAACAATGCCGATCAACTAGCATGAAGACAGGAGACGGTTAAGTACATCGGATAGCAAGTAAGATTCAGGTGATGGGAAATCACCGAAATTGTGTTCCCGAAACGAATGATAGTGGTCCTGTAATTTAGGTGTTCTTGTATCGAATCGATAAACATGGAATAATAAACACGTAGGAAAATATAATCGTCAGTGCAATAGTGGTTAATCTCAGAAGTGAACTTCAATATGTTCCAATGAAAAGCTGTGACATCTGAAATATACTAAACCGGCAGTAAATCGGTAATTACCCAACTATGCTGAACAAGAATTAGGCTATACCACAAACTGGCTTAAGTTGAAATTGTGGACCAATGAATCTCGACAAAGTGATTTAGTGATATCATGAACATTACGTGAGACTCAAAGGACTTTGTTTTAATTATAACCTTCGAGTTTACAACGCCTTTTCCGATAATGTCGGTCTGTGATGAAAAAGGCAATCATAAAATTATACGTATCTACACAAAATATTCAGATAAAAAAACAAGATATATTTCTAGTCAGGAAAACAAGTTTTCTAAAAAGTAAGAAATTCACTCAATTATTAAGTATGAGTATAATTACATTACATTTCCTTATATGCCATTTTCGTAAAATGGGATAATTTGAAATCATTTTTTAACATGTAACATCATATCGGCAGGTACACACGAACAATATTAGAAGACAATATATTGTATTTGGAATATATGTGTTATTAGTGAGATATAGATTGGATTAAAGAATGTTCCGTACAGGATTGTGTTAGGGCCTGGTGACTGGCTATTTCTAGACCAACCAGAGCCAAAGGATACTTGAAGAAAACTCTAGAAACTTATTGTGTAACTTTATAAATATTCTAACGTCCTTCTTCCATTCAACTTTTTTTTACTTGGAATATAATTACGTTCTTGTTTAACCGTGTTTTGATTTGGAGACGTATCGAGTGAAGTAGTGTCCAATATTACTAAGGGATAAGAGTAGCTGGATCATAAAACAAGAGAACACAAAACATGATTTTTATAAAACAAAAAACGGTTGGAACTATAAAAAAGAGGCCTGATGATAAGATTCCAAGTAATAACATAATCATTACATGCATGACCAGTATTTAAATATATACAAACTTACCAACTGAATAAACGGCAATCCTTGTGTTGTTAAAAGTAAAAAAGATTTGATCGGATGAATAGATTTTTTCCAAATTGCAAGGAAGAATTGCAATATTCCCGAAATAATAAACCAGTTTCTGACGAATAAATGTATTTTCAGCTATTGGATATTAATTTAAAGAACATTTTATTAAACAAAACAAAACTTTAATAAAAAGTAGAAAAAATAACTAGCATGGGAAAGTATTTAAAAGAGTGGTGATGGGGTTAAGGAATATTCATCATTTTAATTTTCTTAATCGAACAGTTAGTCGGTGATAATCAAGATGGGGACTTGATATTCAAATGTACCATCAAGGCAACTTAATTAATTATTGTAGTCATAAACTAATATCCGTTGAAATAATAAATATAATTAATATATCACTTTCCAGCTGTGCAGAGTATACTATAAGCTCATTTCTATCACTATGAAAGAACGTTTTGTAACTAAACATAAACAAAAATTTACGCGACTCTACTATTGCATTATCTACATTAGAAAACAATGGTATGTGAATAGTTGTTATAGTATCAAGTGAATTACACTGATTACATACTTTTTCATTGATAGAATCCGAATTCATTAGTAGTAATCATGACATTCCATGTACAATCCACTCACGAACACATACACCCATTATTCAAACACTTAGTTCTTACATACTAAAAAACACCCAAATATAACCAATATACATCATACATATAGTGGTCTTTTTATGTCAGAATAATAAAACAGAAACACAATTACGTATCAAATACAAAGTACATGTGTGTAAAAGTAAATGAAAATACAAGTGTAGAAGAGTTTTTTTTTCTACATCATACTACTATTAAGATTAATTCTTATGAAATGTAAAACAAAAAAAACAAGACATTAAAATAAACATATTCAAAATACTAATCTTACGAGTATTTTTCCATGGCAAAACCTTGTAAACATATATATATATATATATATATATATATATATATATATATATATATATATATATACAATAATAGTCATAATTTAATTTACCATGAAGTTATTTCTCCGAAATAATATTTTTTTATGAATTATTTGATCAATGTTACAATGTTGATTCAGTCAAGTGAACTATTCCATAAATTACAATCATTAAAATGATGAGAAGGTAAAATGAATATTGAATTAATTGAAACAAGCATATAACCATATTAAAAATTTGAAGAAAAATGAATTAGTCATTAATTAGCAAATCAATTTGCATATTCTAGTCTCCAGTGTTCATAGACATCTATATTGATTTAAGTTTATCAATAACAACAACAACAACAACGTAAAACGTGAAACAAATTTGTGTCAGGTCAAGTCGCCATTAATTTCACAAATATTAACACAGCTAGAAAGGATTAACAGCAGGTAGAAAACCTAGAAATAAACTGTTAGTAATAATAATAATAATAATAATAATAATAATAATAATAATAGTAATAATGGTGCTCGAAGACTAAACATCAAAACAACTCAAAATAAGAATAACACTAAGTCAGTAACCTGATCAGTCATAAACAATGGAGAACCTAGTGAATAGGTGTATAGATTAAAGTCACCACGGGAATAACGCTAAAGAATGAAAAATATACAATAATTGTACGTTGAAGATTCGAAAAGAATATGGAAAATTAATGGATCAGTGTACAAGTATCATGGAGACCAATTCTAACTATTTCTATATACTATCTCCATTGGTTAGAATTATGTAAAATTCATTAACACCGTTGGATGCCGGCTCAGTGGCCCAGTAGGTTAAGCGTTCTGCCCAAGACTGAAGGCCCTGGGTTCGGATCCCGCGAGCGGGATCGTGGATGCGCACTGCTGAATAGTCCCGCAATAGGACGAGACGGCCGTCCAGTGCTTCCAGGTTTCCAAAGGTGGTCTAACATCAATCGGTTCAGGATCTCAATCAAAAACTTAATAATCTCCACAACCCCATACTGATAAAATTCATTAATCAGACAGTTAAATATGCAAGTGTAACAGCAAACGTTAAAACTAATCTTTATGATAGGTGATGAAGAAGATTTAGTGAAAAAGAATACACAGTTAACAAATGTATTAATCACAGATAGTTAAATTTTTCATGATTAATCCATATGAACAAATCTGATCAAAATATTAAGAAAAGTGATCAGTTCATCTTTAGTCAATAATACTTACTAACTTATTCTTGATATTTTAAACTCATTCTTTCACATTTTACTGATATTATTATTAAAAGTGATAAACTGCCCAAAAATGTACACAGAATATTTGTCTAACTGTTTCACTGATTGAAAATTTAATGGAAAAATTTTTTTGTCCATTAAATATTTATAGAATGAAACGGGCGTCCAGTGCTTCCAGGTTTTCCATGGTGGTCTAGCTTCAATTGACTCATGATCACAACTATTGAAATTACTACAATCTCCACAAAACCCCCTCTGATACTAAATATTTATCCACCTATAAGCACTGAAATTACTAAACAAATAATAACACTGGTTATAAATAATCCTACAGAGAAAATATTAAATTAATTGATATCAAGAACGAATCATTTTGAAAATGTATGCATTAAATCACCACCTGCTTCGGTTTAGGCACCCGGGCAGTATCACAACCCTCACAAAAATTTGATGACATAACAAATATTTCACAAAATACATATTAACCCTAGGACTCAAATATTACAGAAATTTTCAAAGAAATCATAACGTTTAAACATTTTTTTCGGCAAGAAAATTTATTATTACTAAACGAAATAAATTACTGAAAACCATTACTAGTATTATTATTTGAAATAATAATATATTCTAGTGTTTACTCATTTGTTTAAACATGAAGTACATAATAGATAGTGGATAAATTACTGAATAATAAATATATAGATTTCTGAAGTGTATAAAAATGTTTAATTGTTTTACACAATATAACGTTCTATCTTATTCTGTAGTCATATACTATTCTGAATCAATATTTGTTCTTGCTTTATTTAAATTCATAAAGGGAACTAATAGCATGAAGTTATGTATCAATCAAGATAGATTTATTCACGTATCATTTTAGATTACTTGATTAAATACAAAGTGTAGGATAAGTTAACATCAGTAAAACTAGTTATATAACACAATAACTATCTGTGTATCACAGTTTATTAAAATTCTAATCGAATATTAAAAAACAAGAAATTAACTCACATTTTAATGCTATTTGAAATGGTTTACTTATAACTGAACCAAAATCAGTACTGGCCAAACAATAAAACTTTTCACCTGAAAACAATTCAACACTAGTAACACTTGAAAAACAAAGACAATTCTTTGATTTCAATGTTTTATTGTTATTATTATGATTGAATAAATGGAGATCACATGTAAAATTAGAAGGCACATGATAAATAGTTCTCTGATGAGCAATCTTATCTGTTATTGTTTTGAATGGTTGATTAGAAGTATTATCAGATAATTGATGAAAATGATGCGTTGAATAATAGGCTAAGCTTCCTAAAGGCCACTTCGGCCAAATATCACAACAGATCTTCAAAATCTTGTTGATAGGATCATTTGCCGCATAATAAACAACTGATTCGGGAACCGATTGGAATTCAGGTAAAACTGTTAAAATGAAAGAAAAGTGAAATTAATCAATTAATTAAGAGTTTTGAAAAGAGTAGATCAACAAATTACACAAAAATGTTATATTAAACGGTTATTTGATAACAGTATTTAAAATAATGAAATTCTACTTGTTATTATGATAGAATAAAACTATACAGCACAACACCATTAAAATTCGATGATAGATTTCGTTAAGAATTGTAACAGAGATCATAGAATTGCTAATACTACGATTTTATCCAACAAGACACTTTCAAGTATGTTTATTTCATGGTATTTCGTTTATTAATTGGTAAAATATAAGATAACATAGCCAAAGGTAGTGATAATAATAACAACTCTAACCCCCATTTAATTACAAATCAACTGTAACAAACATTTTGAGTTATCATTGACATTATGAAACTTAACGCAAACCGCTCAAAGTTGAACTAGAAATGTTCAGAAATAATTAACAATTATCACCTCACTATATAATAAAACTAATCGATTCATGTTGTTAGGGTAAACATATACGTACGTCCATATGATATCACAAGTGAAAAATTTAACCAAGCAGTGAGTCAGATATGAGAGAGCGTATGCAAAGGAGAAACAGGAAGAAAACAAATAGGCATAATAAAATGGTAATTCAGAAAAAATGGGCAGTTATAGTTGTCATTGGTTAGTATATTATTATTATTATTATTATTATTATTATTATTATTATTATTATTATTATTATTATTATTATTATTATTGAAACAAAGGCATATCTACATCCCACAGAAGTACATTTAATAATAAATAAGCTGTAAACTATAGAAAGCGTTACGCGCATTTATGAATACAGACACACACAAAAACATAAATACAGACACATAAAAACATCCTAGAGCCCATATACAGACAAAAAAAACGATAAATAAGAAGAGAATGGGAGCGAGAAAGAAAAACTACTGAAAAGGAAAAATACAAAAAGTTGAAAAACAAAATCGACCGGAATTTCTCCCATTTTGTTTTCCTTTGGTGAACAATCAGTAGAATATATAAATTTATGCTAACCATGACTCTAGGAAATGATAAAAAAGTGAAATTTACAACTGAAATCAATTTACAGCTATAATGATTATCATTTTATATGAATTCAATTAAAGTAACCCATTGTATCATTGAATAAAATGAAGAGAATGTAGTGAAAAAATTTTCCTTTCAAATGAAATCATTTAATTAAACTGTACATTCGTATGGTAAGTATATGTCTGTAGAGAAACAGGAATTTATAAGACATCTTAATTTGTATCGTGATATCTTAATTATTGTTGGGAAATACCAAAACTAAAATACTACAAACAATCAGTCAGTTACATTGTAGGACCAGGCACATATATGCATCCGTCCAAGTCACCATACTTCATTATCACTACAACATGAACACTAAATTCATAGAAGCAGTTACTTCAATTATAGTAATATATAAAGAAGATTGCATAAAGGATTTGATACAGGGAGAAAAAATTAGTCCATAGAAATAAAAGTATAAATTAACTTAAATCCCATAGTTTGAGAGAAAACAAAGAGTGTACACCCTGTTATATCCTAGTAAGGATTAGATTATGGATAACTTCTGAGAACTATCAAAGGACTAATATCATATATATATATATATATATATATATATATATATATATATTTCTTTATGTATAACTATTCAGTAACTAGATTGTGTATATTTATATTCCTCTAATTATAAGCTTCATTTTAACGTCCCACGTTCACAACCACTTGAACTTGTAAAAATGTTATTCCCTATTTTATGGTGTGATGTGTTCTGTTTGGCCTGTATATAAACCAGGTATGTTTGAAATAAATGATTTACATAGTGGAAGTTGGTATTGGTGTTCTGAACTCAAATGACAGGGCTAGGAGGACAAAGGACCAATAAGGATTATAAGCTGCTGATACTGGTCGAGCGTCATTGGTTTGGTACAGTGCAAAGATTGGCGAACAAGTCACGTGATAATTAGCCGGGCTTGAAGTCACAACAAACACCTAAGCCATTGTGATCGATTCTCAGCCATGTCACGCGGACCCCAACTAATTAGTCCACTTCTATTAACATGGATCACACCACAAGTTAGTAACTTTATGCATTGATGTCACGTTCTGGTTATGTCGCCCCCAACTTCCTTCCATCCGTTTACAACACTAGTCAGCGTTGCGCATCGTAGTGGTCGGTGTTCAGGCGTATGTAACCATCTCAGCCAATGAAGATTCACAACCTCATCAACTGCTTTACCATCATTCCCTAATACCCAGCGTCTAACCTCAATATTACTTACCCAGTGATCCCAGTAGATGCAAGCAATATTTCTAAGGCATCTGTGGTCAAATACTAGTAACTTACGAGTATCTTCTACCCTTAACGGCCACGTTTCTCAGCCGTAAAGTAGAACAGAACGAACTGCCGCGCAATATACTCGTCCCTTAATTGATAGACGGATATCTCGCCTTCGCCATAGGTGACGTAAGTTGGTAAAAGCCAAACGAGCTTTCTGAATCCGTGCTGAGATTTCGTCAAACACCAACCCATTAGGGCTGGTCAGACTTCCTATCATTAGTTCAGGTGTTGACGCATACCAGTCCTAAAGCAACAATTCGCACCTAGCGAAGGAGTAACGCATCCAAAACATCCTGCCATTGTTGCTCAGTGCTACCAAAACACTCGGCATTTTATCAGAGTCTTCACCAAACAGGACTATATCGTCTGTGTATTCTAAGTCGATAAGTGAACCTCCTGGAAGGAGATCAGTGCCCGAAAATCTATCCGACGAAAGCGTTATTTCTAGCAGTAGGTCTATGATGAAATCGAACAAAAATGCAAATAGTAGACAGCCTTGCCTGACATCACTTGAGGTTGCAAAATCAGACGACAGTTTGACATAAGCTCTGACTCGACTAATAGTGTTCAAGTAAAGAGCCTTCATAAGGTTTATGTACTTCTGAGGTGTACATTCGAATTACAGACACTGCCACAGAACCTCTCGGTCAGCAGATTCAAATGCTGCTTTTAGGTCAAGAAAAACTATCATTATCGGATGTCGATAAGCATGCCTGTGTTCTATATCCTGACGAATAGTGAATATGTGAACGATGCAGCCACGACCAGGTCTGAAGCCAGCCTGATTTTCACGTGTTTGCAGTCCATGAATCTTTGTTAGGCGCGCGATAATTATTGAGGCTAGCTTTTTATACGCTATATTAGTTGGAACAATCCACCTATGGTTAACACAGGATTTTGATCCTTTCTTATATGAGAGAACAAATAGCCTACAGTAATCGGAAATTAAATGCCCAATATGTCCGGATCGCCCAGATTTTAATTATCTTATTACGAGAGGACCCTACATTTTACTGTGCTTACTTAATTACACCTGTTACCCCTCGTGGAGGAGCGTTCTCCATCCAACTCTGTCTTAAGCATTTTTTTCCAGTTGCTATTCATCCATTTCATATGTGCTTCCAATTTTCAGAAGTGTGTTCTTCGATCTTCCTCCTTTCCGTTCCCCTTTACGATTCCAAGTTAGCGCTTGCCTCGTGATGCAGTTTGGTGATTTCCGTAGTGTATGTCCTATCCACTCCCAGAGTACTTTCCTAATTTCCTCTTCAGATGGAAGCTGATTTTTTCTCTCCTACAGTAGGTTGTTACAGATTATATCCAGCCAATGGAGGTTAAGTATCTTGCGTAGACAACCATTTATAAATACTTGTACCTTCTTGATGATGGTTGTGGAAGTTCCCCAAGTTTCAGCTCCGTACAGTAGAACTGCCTTGACGTTCGTATTGAAGATACTGACTTTGATATTGATTGAAAGTTTTATTGAGTTCCATATGTTCTTCAATTGCAGGAATGCGACCCTTGCTTTGCCAATCCTCGCCTTTACGTCTGCATCGGATCATCGACACTCATCGACGATGCTGCCCAGGTGCGTGAACGTTTCCACCTGTTCCAGAGTTTTTTCATCAAGTGTGATTAGGTTGGTGTTCCCCGTGTTGAATTTGAGGACTTTTGGTGGTGTTTTGTTCTCTGAGCTCCAGCTCCAGCTCAGAGAACAAAACACCACCAAAATCATCCACCTGAATTTGAGGACCTTCTACACTTTACCGTGGGGGAGGGATATGTCGGTAAATTAAGGTTATATGAATATACAATTCTACAAATAAATTTCAAACTAGTCTCGTTGTAGGTTTATATTTACTAGAAGAAAAATAGCCGGACATTATGGAAAATAGCAGTTAAACTAGGGTATAAAATTTCTTTCAGAATTATTTATTAACAGTTGTTCTAGAGATTTAACCCAAAGACTCTTAGAACTTACGGATTTGAATAATGACTTCTTTAAAGGCAATCAATAGTTTGTTAACATGATGAATCAGAACATATATAAGCAAAAAATTATTTTTAATTAGATTTTGTCTCTTGTGTATGATAGAAGCTATAAGGATTCGAGAAAACAATCCAATGTTTTGTGTTCATTGATCGAATTGGCCTTAACGAACGTTTTTCTGTGCTCTTTAACCATTTATTTTCCTGCACCCAATTTTTAAACATACGCTTTACCGCCTAATTATTTGAACAATTCTAATTAGGCAATTTCGATAATTTCCAAGTATTCTATTTCAGCGTCTACAATTTTAAGTCACTGATCTACTTCCTATTATGAAATATTGAATCAAGCTTTTACTATTCTTATCACAACTACTAAAATAGTCATCCCCATTAATTTGTAATTTTTACTTATTTATTTACGTAATCTATTCTACTGTTATCACTGACCCATAAACCTCCTTGATTAAATTGATATTTTCGGACATGTATATAAATATTATTGAATATTAGAGTAAACCCTGATAAGGATCTAATTGGAAGAATAATGTTCGCTTAGATATGTTGTTTTAATTCACAATATAGGAATTTCTAATATTTTAAAGTTTATTAATATACCATAAAGAGCTATTTCACGATATAGTTTTGCCTAACACCCTGTTGTATAACTGTCACGATGAAAAAATGACTAGTTACTACTTGATATTCTGAAGCAGTCTCATCGGTACATAAAACATTTGGCTACTATCCAGGTCTCGAATTTAAACTAATTTTAGATGGGTAACTAAGTAGTATCACTAGTCCTCAATCCAAAAGTAACCCGAAGCCGAGTATATAAATTTGTACCTAGCTACTAAGTTTGAATAGGAAACTAAGTTTTCGATATGAAGATACGATAAAATGAGATCGGCTGTGAAAGACAATGAAAAATTAAAATTAATACGTCTTAAGATTACGAATAAATACTCGTAGCGATAAATTGAAATTATGAACAATAAACTACAAAATGTTAGGCGATCTTAGAGAGGACAGTGATACCCTAAAAATAAGCCAAAATTAGATGAAATGGTTAAGCTTTAGTAAAAGTTAGTTGCTATTAACAGACACTGGTAGCATCAATTAATGCCAAAACTTTAATTAAGTGACGGTTCAGTGATCACAATACGACTTTTAACCAGTAACTAGCATATGGGAATCCAGTTTTATCTACTTCCGTGTTGAACAGTTGGATATTATTGCTAGCCCTAAATTTTAGTTCAAAATCATATAGATGAAACTCGTTTGAAAAATAATTAATTTATAATCATCACTTTATTGAATTATTCACATAAATCACCTACAACCTTGATGTATTTTTCATTCGGTTGAGTAATTATGTGGTTAGTGTGTAATATAAATAATATCTTCCCTTTTGGAGTATGCCAAAGTCTATATTTTTGTTGGTTAGTTGAATACCAACAATTTCTTGCTTTCTTATTCATTTAACTTGAAGAGGGAAAAGATCATTTATACCCCTCAATGTAATTACCATTGGCATCTAGTATGACAAATAGCTTTGGTTTAATATGAGTTTAATTTAAACCGCTGGTTTCATTCATGTTAGTTACTGACGAAAACTATTTTGGAATAACTTAGATGATGAGTTTAATGATAGTTTGATTGTGATATTTTAATATTGAAAATGAACAAGTCACAGTTGGTGTATTGAAAAGTAAGCAATTGAAATAAGTAAAAAAATGATGACCAACTGAAAGGACTAAATGACACAATATAGTTTGAACCTAATAACTTATTTAATCCACTTGGAGTTCGTAGAGTTAACGATGCGTAAAAAGACAGAACGACTGTCCGTATAATCATAATCTATACCATCCAGTCTGATTGAAAGAATCCCTTTTCTAAGTACGAAAGTATGAAATTCAATAAATATTGCTAAGTTACACAACATAAAACTTATTGGAACCAAATAATATCCAAGGGCTATCTAACATCCAGATAATTTACTACTTTGGGTAAATAGAACAAATTTAGTTTTGTTGCGATGGAACTTACTAATTACGACTATAATTAACACCACAAATCCGACTAAAACTACCTAATACAGACGCCCTGACTCGATTTTCAGGGAAAAATAAGATAGACCCCTCTAACAGGACAGTGGCTTTCTAAGAAAACCATCTGATTCGATTTGGGCCCAAAATCAGTATTCCAGACCTCACACAAATCGTTTGACGAAGTGTGGCGCACATATATTTGGTTTCTTTTCGTGCCAGTGTTTGTGTTTAAATAAATAAATAATACACTAACTTACCAAAAGTTCCGCACACACTCGAAGACAAAATCATAATCCAAAAGCCAATCATAGCAATGTAGGTAACATCAGGAGCAGTAGTAGTGGTGGCCATAACACTTGACCTTCGGACAAGTAAAAAGGTAGCAAGGAAGAAAGCATACTTTATTGATCGTAAAAACTGAAACTACAATACATATATGGTAAATAGGTTTGTTTGGTCAAAACAGTGAAATTTAATCTCAAATGAGTTGGTTGAAGCTTCCCTCTAGAACAAGATAGGTGAAGCAACCAAAAACGCGACAAAATTTTCTATGAAAACAATCTGGTAAATAACTGCTTTTTGGTTTTACGAACCTACGTCTACTCAGGTATTTACAAAACTAAACAGTACATGTGAATCGACTACAATACACTCTAATAGTTCAGTTCACTAGTAGTTTAACAGACTGAATCAATATCTACAGTAGTTGATTACTTTTATGGTGCACCAGGACCACAAAATTCTACCTTTTACAAGTTTTTTTAAGATAACAAAGAGAAAGCAATGTTTCCTAAATTGTGAAATAATCTTCAAATAAAATACAATCTACAACACCGGTTAGATTTCTATTTCTGTTTGAATGTACAAATATTATAACACCATTTCGGGGTCATGAAACTGCTACTGCACCAAAACACACCATACAGAACCTTGGTATCACTTATGCTGGTGTAGGAGTGATCAAGGAAACTAGGAACAGCTACAAAAAGACATGAAACCACCAAGCGAGGTTTTCAGTGTTTCTTGCGCTAAATGATTCACTTCTTCCTGACTGCATTAATTTTGAGTCAATTCCAAGTCCCTCCAAAAGTTAACACTGCAGTCACTGCTTTGTATGATTATTTCTATAAGTATAATCAGACGGAATTAGGTAACTGCAAACACTGTAGTAACGCCACTACATTTACGTCGCAGTTATATTCATTATAAATTCCGAAATGTGATGGTACCTTCTGAAGCGTGTGATATGCATCGGGATATATGATTGTGCTTAAGTCGATATGCTTGTGGCAGAGGAATAATACTTTTCGCGTAAGAAGGTGAACATGAATAGCCTCTTATAGGGATCAGAAGAGCATGTAGAAAGGATCAGTCACAAACAGAAATGGAGCGAATGTTATTAAAAGACACACATCGTGGAATCCAACCCCAGACAAGTCAATCTTTGACAGTAAGATCTGTGACATTACAATTGCAAATTTTGACTCAAAAACACCACAGATTAACGTATAGACATATATCTTAGTCATACATCCAACTTATTTACCATCGGAAGTTAGACGTCCTGTTTAGATAACGGTTGACAATAAATAAAGAGCTCTACATAATGCCTAACGACATCTCCCTACAAGAAATATTTCACAATCACATTTTAATCTGAGGATACTACATGATGTTTCGGAATAAAAGTAGTTTCCAGAAAATAAGATGCCTTCTAATGATCCAAAAGCTGAATTGTTGCATACACCACATGCGTAGCAACCGAAAAAAGTTATAATAATTGTATGTACAATCGAGATCTGCCGCTAACGTATGCAAGACGAACTTTAATCAATTGATATAGCTCACCCCGTTCCCTTTGGTTACTTACCAAATGAAAACGCTTAGAGATGAACGTCTGCGCCTGTATAAAGTTAAGTGGTCGTTAGAAGATCATGTTGAGAAACTATACAACCATCACCGACACGACTTTGCGGCAAGCCCAGAAAATGCATCTGAACAAAAACTTTTGAAGCAGGCGGACACTATCACCTTGTACACTTGAAACACAAACGTTGGTTAAAAAATCACCGAATAGTTTCTTCCATGAAATATATATCCGAGTATTGGAAGTGCGCTTTTTGTTCAGATGGCCATATTTATTTTATATTTATTACACATATTATGGGTGAAACAAGTAAGCTAATAATAGTCGTGGTGATCGCGGAGCTGGTTCCGTAGTGGGACTGGGCCGTAACCACACGATCTTTGAAGCCGAGAATATAATTACTGAAAAGACTTATATTCTGTAGTTAACAAAAAGAGACGGTTAACAATGGAGAGCGTAGGAACTTTTAATAGAATTCAATTGGGTGGCATGAATCAGCTTTGCAGGCGTGATCACTCTTGTGTAACTTATCACTTTTATTCATATTAAAATTATTGTTCTGTCTTCAGCCCCAATTCGTTCTCCATCATATATTGGTGATTGTTAGATACGATGAGTCAGTGTAGACAATGATATGACTTCCACGTAAGATTTTATAGATTAACTTGTCACATGACAAATCTACAATTTTAGGATTAGGTCTATTATTAGAGCAGTACTAATAACGAAGTAGGCTACAATTCTACAGTTCTGCTGGTCAGTAGCTGACATTAGCGAAAGCACCATGACGCGATTTAGACGGATACGTCCCACTTAGTATGTTTACCGGTGATGCTTCGGAATCCTTCCAGACTTTAAAAATGGCTGTTCTTAAACGCGGAGATCTTACCGACCGACAAAGGCTAGGTCAACTCTACAGCAACATCGGTCAACAACATGCTTCAGCAACATACACGTTTCTACGAATGCAAGTCATTAATCAACGGACACTTGACGAGGGTCTGATTAGACAAATCTTCTTGCCGAAGCTTCCCTACCAGGTGCAGGAGGTTCTTGACTGAATTCAAAAAAACTCTATAGACGAACTGGAAGCATCTGCCGACCAGATTCTGGAGCGCACCAGAAATCCCAGCATCAAAATCTATTCAGC